TCTCAATATAACGATGATATTGATGATGAAAATTATGAAAAGAAATTAGAAAATGCATTTAATAGTGAAAAATCATTACTTTTATCTAATAGTAATAATAATATTTCCTATTATGATAATAATGGTAAATTCTATTAATAATAATTATAATGAAATTCCAATTTTAGTTGAAAAGAAAAGATTTTCAAATTTTACAAAAATATTTCAATCAGAATCAATGAAGAGAGTTAGAAGATGGATAGCATTTATTGTTGGTTGTTTTATAATGACTGCAAGTGGTACTCCTTATTCATTTTCATCTATTAGTCCTTCTCTAAAAAAGTAAGTTTTTAATTTTATTTAAATATAATTTATTTTAATTATTATTATTTTTTTTAATTTAATTTTATAATATTATGAAAATAGAACATTTTTATTATCACAAAGTGAAGGTATGTTACAATTATATTGTTTTATTAAAATAATAATATTTCTATAAATAGTAAATTTAATAGGAACATCAGCCAATTTAGGATCTAATTTTAGTTTTATATTTTCATTTGTAAATGATATATTTGGATCTAGAATTAGTAGTTTATTAGCAGGAGCATGTTTATTTTTTTCATATTTTTCCATGTCCTTAATTGTAACTGGTAATTTACCATTTATAGATCCATATATAGCATTTTGTTTTTTAATGTTTTTAATGGGAAGTGCATGTGGAGGTGGTTTTATATCTTCAATTTCTACTTCAATGAAGAATTTTCCAGAAAGAAATAGAGGTCTAGTTAGTATGTATTTAATTTTATTTAATGTTTATTTAATATTTTTATTTTTTTATTTATTTAATTTTATATTTAAATATATAAGTTGGAGTATTATCATCTTGTTATGGTATTAGTAGTGCAATATATTCAGGTGCATATTTATATATATTTCAACAAGATTTAGAAATTTATTTAATATTTTGTGCTGTATTAGGAGGTGTTGTAGTAATGATAATGGGTCCTATATTTTTAGATAGTAAGGCTAATTCACTTACTATAAATAGTAATAATAATAAGAATAATCAAATTGATAATAATAATCAAATTGAAAATGAAAATGAATCATCCAATGTAGATAACGTAGATAATTTACAAGATGATAATGTAAATAATAATTTAAAAGAAAATAATTTAAAAGAAAATGAAACTTTAAAAGAAAGAATTACCAAAATAGAATTAAAATTAAAAGAAAATGA